AGCGTCTTTAAATGGCTTTTCTTCTCTGCTGCCTATTTATTTTCCATCTCAGCCTCTTTCTGCCCATCGCCCTCCCCGTCTCGCTCTCCCGGCTCTGCCCGTCCGGCCTCGGGGCCCACGGGAGCGTGCCCCGCACATGCCCCACTGCTGCTTTTCCCACCCCGGGACCCGCTCGCCTTCTGCTCCTCTTTGATCAGATTTGTTCCTTCCTCCTCTTCGCTCTGTGTAGAGTTTGGAGAAATGAGTCTTGTCAGCCATCTCCTTTGTGTCCCCGGCTTTTCTCTGCTGCTTCAATGCAGCGTATTTATTTATAGTGAATAGCATGCTTTTGTATTCGGTGTGGATTGTTTATCAAACGAAGCACTAGCTCGATGCTGTTAATATATCCAAAAGCAGTTTAAAACTTTTTTGTGTGTTTTGTTTAAGAATGGTTTGGGAAACGTAGAACGCAAAATAACATTCGAAGGCATTTTACACAGGGGGGCGTTAAGGTGGCTAATTGGAAAAATAAGTTACTGTTAATTGAGCTGTGACGAGGAGATCAGACCCATGACTCTTTGTCTGGCAAAGTCAGCTCATGCTTTAAATTTTCGTGCCTGCTAGAGAAGCAGAAAATTGCAAAGGCAACCCAGCTGAGCAGCTTACGATACTAAAGAAGGTACGAGAGCCTTTCCTGCTCAGGCTCAGGGCAGGAAGCTGCTAAATGCATTCCGAGAGTTTGAAAATTTTTTTTTTCTTTTTCTCTGCTTTTTGGAGTGGTTAAAAAAGATTAAACTTTTGAAAAGTATTATGTAAGAAGTGAATGGGGAAGAGTTTTCCAACTCTTCTGTCCCGTTACCACTGACTTTCGGGCAGTAGCCTGCCAGTGCACCTGTTAGCTTGGTTTTTCTTCACAGCTACAATAAACAGGTATCTATTTTACAGTTTAAAGGAATCCAGTAGTCAGGACTAATGTTTGTTGTCTGTGCCTTAGACCTGCTTTTCTAATGCAGAGTTAGACATGAAACACAAAGTTACTTGGTTTTGTCTTGTTTATGTCAGATGAAGATAAACGAATCGCAGAACTGGAAGTTGGTGGTTGCCGTGGAATCCTGATGACATTCGAGCTCAGCATACAGCCGTGCAAACTGCTAAGAAATGTAACTGGTGCTTCAGAAGGGCATAGCTAAGCACATTTCATAGTGAACCTGGTAGTGAAGAAAAAATTAGATGGAAAACTGAATTAGACTTGACAATTTTCTAAGTGAAAGCTATTAAATGGCCAAAACCCCAAGAATTTTGCAATCGAGAAGGGGGACAACTTTGCCTAACCATCCATCCTATTTCAGTGATAAAACAAAGGGAAAAATCATATGTAAAGTAATACAAAACAAATGAGAAAAAGGGAAGCAGACAGCGATGAACTCAAAATGAGAGTTATGTAGAAAATTAATAAGGAAAGCAGTAGCCAAAGGAAAAGAAAAATGTATGGGTTGGAGTGCTCAGAGAGGGTGATGAAGAGCTGAAGTTCAGAGGAAACGTTTGCGGTAGGGTAAGGACCATTACGAGATGCAGGTGGCAAAACTGCTAGTGATGATGTAAGAGAACCAGAAAGGTGATGTCATTCATTAGCAATACTTAATATTAAAAAATAACATTTTTAAATTCAGTAGGTCTAGAAACCTCCTATCAGTCCCTCTAAGGGAGGTGCCTGGGGCAGTCTCTGACCTGTGGATGAGGAGGGTGGCGAATGGGGCAGGACTGCCCGGGTGAAGCGCTTGGCTAGCGCAACACCCCCGGGAGGGGACGGGGACGGGGACGGAGGTGAATGTTAATGAAGGAGTGTGATGTAAGTCATTTCATTCTGTCTTTGGTTTTCAGTTTTCTTTGGGATTAGTGTGAACTGAGTGTATCTGGGCCCCTGCGAAGCTTGGTGGTTTCAGATAATCACACCTTTTAGAAGGTTGTTCACAGAGAACCATAATGAAATGGGGGACAGAAGGGTCTGCTGGCACCCGATACGATTCAATGGTTCCGGATCACTGGTGAAAACAGGTAAAAAATCACTGCTGATACAATGTTAACAGGACAAAAATATCCACACCCAGAACCAGAGTGAGTAAGAGCTCCACGTGTCCCCAGTGCAGTCCCAGGGTGAAAGACTAACGAACAAGAATGTGTTCCTGTTTTTAATTACCGTTAGCAGTAAGAGATTATATTTCTGTATGTCTCAGCTGTGAGAGTTGGGAATTTTGGATGCAATTTGGATATTTACATTTTAAAAGAGAAGCTGAGTAATTGGAATGGATGCAAAAAAAACATTAAAAAAATCACTGGTGGAGTGTGAAAATGCCTTAGAGAGAGAAAACTCGGTTGGCTGAGTTTATCTACCAGAATTGAGAATGTCTTGGTTACAGTGCACAAGTACCTTCACGGGGAGAAAATACTGAACACTGCAGCTTTCTGATCTTAAAGAGCAACACAACAAGAATCACTGACTGGCAATCGAAGCCAGGCAAATTCAAATTGGAAAAAAGGCAAAAAAGCAACAAATTCTTAAGAGAGAATAACTGTGTAATTTAGGAATGTTTCTCCAAAGAACTGTGAACAGAACAATAAAAGTTATGATATTTATGCAAATAGCTTTTTCATGGCTTTTTTCTTTCAGAAGTATACTTAAAGGGGGGGGGAACCAGAGGACAAGGAGGCTCCTGATGAGGCTGTCATTGGGAGGTTTAGTCGGCGTAGCCCGTCCGTGGCGCGGGGTCGCGGAGCTGTGGCTGAGCATCCAGCGCTGCGGGGGCCGAGCGGTGTCCTCCGGCTGTGGGAGGAGGTGGGACCTTTCTCCAGTGGTGCCGCATAAGCAGGTGATGTCTCGTAACTTTTTACATCGTGCTAATCCCTCCACCACTTTGAAAGGATCTGTGCTTTTGGAGGAGTTTTTACACCACGCGATATCCGAACACTTGCTAAGTTTAATACATTTCCATACTATGTAAATGAAACAAACAAGTATCTGCACATAAATCTCATTCTTGGGGGGTAAATGTAAAGCAGGAACTGCCTTCCCCCTCCTCCACCCACCCTCCAAAGCCAGCACAAGGCTGTTCCCTGCTCTGGCCATGGACATCTGTGGGTCCCGCAGAAACACGGAGCCTCGCCGAGTTGAGTCCCAGGAGCCTTTTCTTGAGGCTGCAGCGAGCGACGAGCGACGGCTCCTGCACGGTGACGGCAAATGGGTCTGCCCAAGAAAACGTTCTGCCACGCGTATGGCTTACGTGCGATGCGGCTGTGCTACCCTCACCTCGCCCCCATTCACAGCAGCTCCATGGGGACATCCCAAAGGAGATGCCACATTCTCCAAGATGCATTTCCAGTTCTTCCGACGTTTGCCTGTGGGTCTGCATGCAGCAGCAGGCAACACCTTGGAAGCAGAGGGAGGTATTTTGCCTGCTGAACTAACCCTGGAGAAGTCCCCTTCTCCACTGACTGCAGGGGGAACCGAAGGCGAGGGAGCCAAGCTCGGCCTTTTTGTGTATCATCTTAGAAGTGTAACTGCTTATGTGCATGATTAGTATTTGATCACGCCTGGAGCAAGCGAACATGATGACAACATTATGTCACAACTGTATGCATTTAATAAGCATCTCATCTGAATTATTAGTTAATGTACAGATTCCCCAAAAGCATTTTTATGTTATAAACCCCATAATTTATCTAAGTACAAGCTGCAAGTTCATAAATACAGCATTAAGAAGATAGCTATTGCATAGCTGGTTTAACAAAATATCCTTTGTGTGTAAGATATATAGGCTTATTTGGAGAGGCTTTAGCTACTGGGAGGAGGTCTTCTCCAAGTAAATTCTATGCTTCTCAGCTGCAGCAGACAGGGAATGTAATTTCTTAGTTTGTGCTTCTTGTCAGTGGAAATCAGTTTGACCCAACTATGCTGTCTGATTCGAGTGTCTCCTCAGCCCAGTGTTCACTGGAGGCAGATTTATGAAACATCTTTAAAGGAATGAGGCTGGAAGTGACAGTCTGATGGAAAGGAGAGATGGATTAACTGGTACTGCAGTACACTTACTAGAAAGGAAACAGCGAAGATACGTGGCCTGCGAAGGCTTGTAAGCGATCTTTTGCTTCGCTGGGTGCACGGCGCACAGGAGCGGTGCCGGCCTCTGCCTGCGCACAAGGTGTGCAGGGACACGGGGCCACTGCCGACGTACCGAAGCGCAGGTCAGTGCCGCGCTGGAAAAGTCGGAATAACGCAGCACAGACACAGTGTCTGCAGCTGTGTAATGCGGAAGGTCGGAGCAGCTGTGCACAAAAGCCTCTTCCATCTCCTGTATCTTCTCTTATGACCGGGGTCAGGCGTAACAGTCTGTCAAGGCACCATGCTGCGAGGGCTGCTTTTTGTACATACTCAAGTGGAAGATTGTATGTTGCGTCTTTGTGTGTGTACATACACAGGAAAACTGCAGAAAATCTCTGTAAACTGAGAAAGGCACAATTAACTGTGCCCTTATCAAGAGCACTTGCTGACTGTTCATCTGTTGCTGACTGACTCTGCAGATTAAATTTGCAAGAATAGCAATAGGTGTATCATGGGAGGGAACTCAGCCTCAAAGAAAGTCAGCAGCCGACACTTCGGATGTTTGAATTACATCTGAATCGGGCTCTTGATTAAATCTTAGCAACGTCAGAAGCTCAAAGCAGCACTTGTAATTGATGTCGCTTCCCCCTTCCCCCATATTGCTAAATTATCTATTGCAATGTGCAGTGCATCCATGTCACTACATTAAATTTGTATGCAAAGAAGAGGGGAGATTAGGCAATAAAGCCACAGGACAAACAGAGTGTAGTCAGGCGTATCTTCCTGGCTTCGTTCACTGTTGTTGAGCGTTTTTAAAAAGTGTTTCCAAATCTGAGTAAAACTGATTCCAGATGTGCTCATTTGAAGGATATAAAAGTCATGCTAGCACCAAGACTATCTGAATTCTGTGCTGTGCCTGAACAGATAACTAGTCCCATCTTAAAAACAGAAGTGCTATAAACAGTAAAAAGGCCACAGGCAAAGGTTTTAGTGCTTCGTTCCCATTAGCATCCTTTTTTCCCACGTATTTTAGACTAAGGTAGCTAGATAATTCCTCTGGCGCTCCGGCGCACTGAATGAGAGGTGCCTGGTAGGACGTGGGTCGCTTGGCCGGGCTGTCAGGACTGGATCCATCTGTGGGCCTTTCGCCAATGTACAGCAGGCTGTGCTCTTCCGTGTCTTGCTCCGTTTTGAAAAGTTCGTACTCCGTGTGGGGCAGCTTGATGCCCAAAGCCAAACATCCATTTGTGGGTGTTATATCCTGCTCCACCCGAGCCCTCCAGGAGCTTGTCAGCCCACAGCTTCCAGGTTCTGAGGAGTTCAGCATCGTCACCGTCACCTGGTCCATTGGCGTCACCCGAGCCTGCGTGACTTTGAAAGCCAGCTCTGTTCCCCCCCTCACCTTGGAGGAGGGGATGCCTTGGGTGTAATGGCCAGACGCGTAGATGGTGAAAGTCGGCTGTTTGCAGAGGGGGTCGGAGTAGTGATAGTAATAACCTTCCCAGGTGTGGTTGTTACCGTGGAATATGAAGTACCGGGTGAGGAAAAGCACGGCGGGTCGGACCTCGCAGTGGGTGCTCACCCAGCTGCCGCTGAGCTGCATCGGCAGCTGAGCTCTGAGGGGCAGTATGGGTGGGTGGTGCTCATCAGCTCTGTATATGATCCCACAGGCTGGGCAAGGATGCACATGGTGCTGCAGAAGACAAAAAATAACATTTTCGTAAACTGATGGGCAAAATACCCTTTCAGGATATTTTAAAAGCTGAAACTCCCCGCTCCTGCACCAGGGTGTTCAACTGCAGTGAACTCAGCCCGAGACATCCAGGCAGATTACACGAGACGAAGCGCTGCCTGGGCTCTTTGCTGCTCGGGTATGCTGGGACGGACAGAGGTCTGTGCCAGTGCCGCTACGAGGGGCGGCAGGAGGAGGGGAGGGCAAGGGCAGAGCGGCCGCAGGCACAGGGAACGCTCCCTCGGGCCATCCAGGTTCTCCCACAGCTTTTCCACCGCAACCTGCCACACACACCCACAGGTGAGGGTGAGAGAGAAGGTGCCCACACCACCGCATCTCTGCACCGGTTCAGAAAAATCGATGCAGTCTTTCCGGCAATCAAAGAGGCCGTGAAACCTTGACAGCGGGGCGGCTCCTGTGTCTGGGCCACCCCGCACTGAACGGAGGCCCCCCCACCCC